GTGTCTTTCACCCAAATGCTTTATGGCACACTTCCAAACCTAAGCGTTATTGACATTGGGGAACTGGCAGTTTTCTGTCAGGGAGGACATCACAGAATGTGTAGCAGGAATGCCTGGCCTGCAGCCAGGAGTACACCCACCCACACCAGTTATGGCTAGCAAAACCATCCCCAGTATTGCCAAATGTGCCCAACAGAGGCAATATGAAATAGAGTCCAGCTGAAAAATCAACTGAAGACAAAAACAGTGATATTTTTCACAGCAGTAGCTTTTTTCATTTTTTTTTTTTCATTCTGAGCTGGTGGTACATTCTGAGAGATCAAAAGGCTCTAGAAAGGGCCCCGGGAGATGGTTCAGGGGTTGAGAGCACTCACTGCTCTTACAAAGGACCCAAGTTCAGTTCCCAACACCAGCATGGTAGCTCACAAGCTATGTAACTCACAAACTATGTTACTCCAGGTTCCAGAGAACCCAACACCACTTCTGGCCTCCAAAGGCACTGCACATATGGTGCACATACATACATACAGGCAGGCAAAATAATCATACACATAAAAAATAAGTGTGTTTATGTATGTGTATATATAATATTAAAATGACAGCCTTTAATCCCAGCACTTGGGATGCAGAGGCAGGTGGGTCTCGGAGTTTGAGATCAGCCTGGTTTACAGAGCAAGGACAGTAAACAAAATTATATATAAATACACACACACACACACACACACACACGGTTCAAGAAAGTTTTTTCAGGCATTAGGGGATCATGTGTGAGCTTCTGAGGTAGGAATGATATATATATCCTCTCTAATTCAACCATCAGAGCCTATGTGAAGCTGGCCCTCAGAGAGATAAGGGAACAAGTCATATGAATGATGATGGCCAGTTATTGGGACACCTGAGATACTTTTCTGTTCTAGGAAATCCAATTATGAACTGCACTTGCAACAAGAACATATTTTGTGACACCCTGGTGTGGCACTGAGTTTGGGGAAGCTTGTCCAGCATCTAGTTCCATCCCTACAGTTTAATTTTGTATTCTGAGGTATGTAACCCTAGAGAATCTAGAGATTCACTGGGATTTCCAAGTAACTTGCAACTCTGGTCAAGGGCAGTGTCTTGAAGTAGGCATAGGAAAGACAGTGCTTGCTTTGACTCAGACTAAGACAAGGCCTATAGATTGCACAGACTCCATTAAGAGAAAACAGATGGCATAGACCACTGTCTTACTCAATGGAGAACTTATAAATCAAGATCTTAGAAAAAAGAACCATACATTGCTGAAAGTATTTGTAGCATTGGATGTTCAGCTATCTTTGGGAACAGTGTTCACTAGAATGTCCACTCTGTCAGTCATCCTTGGAGAGACAGGACAAGGGTTCTGCTCAGTCACATGGAATACCTAACTGTCCTTGAGTTTTTACAGAATACACAGATGTAACAGAAAAGCTGAGAAGACGACTCACATTGGAAAGGCTTGAAAAATAATTCCCAAAGGAATCATCATTTTGTACCCATAATTTTAAAGGCATTTTTAAAACTGATACCATTGTATATTTCCTTGTCCAAACTTCAAAATGAAGAGCCACTGTAAAGACAACTCTCAAGCCATTTTCCACCCAGTTTAGAGACACCAGAATAGAGACTCACTAGTATCAGACTGGGAATATTTACTTAAGTGATGAGTGCTGATCCAGCTATAGTGAGTTCTGCATCTACCATCTTGACGTTAATGGATGAAGCTGATTGGCCGTAGATCTCGAGTCATAAGTTTCACCTAAGTGGTCTATTGATATCACAAAGTAGAGTCAGAGAGGCCTTGGAATTCTCTGAGACATTATCCACTTTCCTAGAAGACCCTATTACTCAGACTGTTTATAAAATATGTAGAGTCTAGGTCTTCCAAGACTGACTGAGGCAGTGGTCCTCCAGCCTTCCCAATGCTGAGACCCTTTAATATAGTTCTTCGTGTTGTGGTGAACCCCAACCATAACATTATTTTCCTTGCTAATTCATAACTACAATTTTGCTACCTTTATGAATCATAATGTAAATTTCTGATATGCAGGATGGTCTTTAGTAACCTCTGTGGAAGGGTCATTTGACCCTCCCAAAGGGGTCACAGTCCACAGGTTGAGAACCACTGGTCTAAGGTAAAGCCTGAAGACCTCCATGTGGGAAACCTTCTTGGTGGTTATGGTGTATAGGAAGCCTCTATAATGCTATTGAGAACACACTGTGCCTACAGGATACCGGGAAATCCATCCTTGTGGTAGGTACAGTTTGAAACTCGATTCTCAGAACATGGAGCCATTTCAAGCAGGAACTTTACAACACAGCAATCAAGTTAAAGACCACCGTCAGAATCACCAGACAAGGAGCCACTACTCTGCCTCAGACCGTCAAAACATGAGCTGTGAGATTCAAATAAGGAAAGTAATCGAGTCCAAAGTGAAGTCACTTTTTACAGTGACATCAACATATATACTTGTGAATTGTATTATTGGTAGTCGAGGTGGCTAATTGTATCCAGGAATTCCTATAAAAATCACTGGGTGGATTTTGTTGTTCTTATATTAACATTAGAGGTAAGACTTTAAAAAAATTAAGTTAATATAATCTTTGATGGACTTGTGGTCATTTATAATAATCTTAGGAAGTCCTCTTTTCACCAGAAACTTAAACACATGTGCATGAACACATATATACTCATGCACACACACGTGTACACACACACACATACACACACACACACACACACACACACACACACACTTCCAAAATATTCAAAAAATAGCCCCATAAATCCAAATAGACACTTCCTACCAATTAAGAACTGTTAATCTATGGAAAGGGAAATCTCACACAGCCCTACCCCCTAGACAAAGAACTACAGGCAACTGTAGGATGTTGAGGGCAAGAAAAGTAGCCCTTCCCCTGGGGGGAACCCCCTAATTAGTTATCCGATACAAAGGTGTTGGTCAGCCCTGAAATAATGCACATGCAAGCAATACTAAATACACTCCGCAGGGTGGGGTCAGGGGAGGAGGCCGGGAGTTATAACAGAAATGAGGAGGCCAGGAATTTAAGTGGGGAGTAGGAGGAGTTGGAAGAAGGAAATAATGGAAACAAATTATGTAATTACATTTTAATTAGCAAAAAACAAACTGCTGTTCTGAACAGGAATCTGGGAGTTATAAAATGTATAGGCTCCCTATGGGAGTGTGATTTGGAAGGGCGGGAAACCAAACCATACCCCACCATACATGAATGCATTTTACAAATTCCCATCAGCTTGACAATGTCCTCAGCTAGATGAAGAAACTCTCTGGGAGTCCATGAAAACACCTAGCTCTCTATATTTTCCAGAGTCTAGTTACCTGAACCTTCCATATTTTCTGCATTTAAAAAAAGAATCCAATATGGAAACCACAAGCCCTGTCTCGGAGCCTGTTTCTGCCACTTATCACTGAACACAGGAGGTATCGCTTGCGATTCTTGGTGAGCAGCCCCTAGGTAAGTTCTGAATTTATTTACATTTCACAAGGAGGCTTTAAAGCTTGTTCAAAATCCAGTCATCCCAGAATGAAAAGAAAAGCAAAATAATCTTGATACCCAAAAATTAAAAACCATCACAAAAACATCAAAAAAATCATCTATATCCAATATAAAACAAATATTAAACACTAAATGCTATGTGCTTGGACAGCTAGTCCAAACATCAGACAGTTCAAAGGATAATTTAAATTTTGCTTGACACTTCTGTAAATATTCTATATGCTGTTTGTTTGGAAGAGACAGAATACAGGGTTGAAGAAGAGGAGCACACTAACAATCTGACTTAAGACACCAATTGGACCCCTACCCCATTCTACTTGTATTTGACCCAAACATACTGCCCAATACAGGAGGGGAGCTTACCTACAACCCAAGAAGGCCACCACCTATCAATGACACGTGGCCACAGGGAAGTCTTTTGCCGCTCACCAGCCAGCTGTGTCCCAGTAGGCCTCGGGTCCTCATGCCCAGTTTTATATTCACGGTTCATTTCGGTGGGTTTTTAATCACCAAGTGTATGAACAGTACCCTCGTCATAGGAATACAAACAACAAGGATAGCTACCCTTAGCGACTCCTACAGCCACTGTTACTAAAACAAAATTCCAACACGGCTGATGACTACTCAGCCTGCTCTGACCACACAGCATGCTCTTAAACAGAAGTGTGTTAAGGACTGCTTGCTGTTTGTGCTTCTGAATCAAATTGCCATTTTCAATCTCCTCCTCCAGCTCCTGGAGATTAGGGGCCTCTCCTGCAGCTGGCTCACCTAAGCCTTCCCCTCCCCGCCCCCTAATTCGGTGAGCTGCCTGCAAGCCTCTAGCCTATTTGTAGAGAGAAGGATAAAGCCCCTTCTTCATTTCTACTCAGGTAAATTGGTGTTTCCCCCTTCTCTGATTCCTCCTGAGAGCATTCATTTGCCTTCTGTTGGCTAGCCAATCAGCCATCCCCAGGATTAAAACTAGAAACCAACGCCCCCCCCACACACACACAAATCAGACATGTTCTGAGACTTTTTGAAATGAAAATACAGAAGCAAGAACAAGTACACCTGATTGGAATAAGCTGAGAGCCAAACACTCACCCCTGCTCCATTTAATGATTATGCTACGATCAGTTAAACAGAGAGAGGATAGTAGGGTTAAATAAAGTCCCCAGGTCCTCAGTGCCTCAAAAGCATGCTAAGTTTTAAGATGGAACAGACCGTCAGCAGCCAGTAAGCAAGAGAACGCCACTCCTCCTCATAGCACAACTAGAAAAATGGCAAGAAGTTGTGACCCACGCTTTCGGCTCAGTTAAGTAAAGTCTGCCTTGCAGCTAATCCTAAACCCTCATGTTCTCTCTCACCATGCCCTCGGTTTGGTCTTCGATGTTACATCATTTCCCTCAGGAGTCCGAGCTGTCTCCAGAGTACCTTTTGGGACATCCCCAGACTCTGCCTCTTACCTGCAGAATCCACGAGCGCGTCAGCCGGCACACTCTGGGTGGAAGCTGGGGCTGGATCCTTAACTCCGTGCACTTGGCCATCTTCTTCCTGGTTCGTCAGAAACGCAGAGCACAGATCAGATTCGAGGGCTTGGAGCTTCAGCAAGGAATTCTGCCAACAAAAGCAGAACATGAAGCCAGCTAAGCGGATGCCTGACACACAGCGCTGGGTCTGCAGCTCCCCAGCACCTTTGTCCGGTGCCTGGAAGGAAAAGGGTCTCCTGGCTGGCTGCAGCTGCTTCAGGGAAAGGAGCTGGTGCCTGAGTCAGAGATGCGCATTGGTCCACGTGCAGCCTCGATTTCTGGCTCATTGAAATCCTCACGTATACAGTTTATCTGTGACTCATGGGACCTGTGATGTCGTCAGCAAGAGACAACTGCATCTGGAGAGCCAATCTCAGAAGGTGTCTGCTTCCCAAGTGGAAAGGCTTTTACGCTCGGCAACTGTTTCATTCACTGTGCTGACATCAGGAGCCAGATATTAGGCCACTCCCAGGCTACCATTCATAAAAGCCACGGTCCCTCCAAGACAGACTGCGGCAGACCGCAGCACACAAAGAGTTACTGCTGCAGAGGCTGTCTGGCATCTAGGAGGGGCTTCTGAGCTCCCTCACCCAGCTGTACACTGCTTCTAAAGTTACTTCTCTTGCAGGGGCTGCGGCGGCTGCCTCCTCTAAAGAGCGGAGTCTAGGGAGACAACCCTGGTCCCTTTAGCCTAACTCAGCTACTTGAGGGAGAGCAATTGATCCTTTCCAGCCTACGGCACAATCTCCCGCCTACCCCTTCATGTCGCATTTGAAATTTCCCCCAGCTCCTTAGTAAGAAGAACAAGTCATGCAGACTGACGCACCTATGAGGCAGCAGCCCAGCAAATTGATTCCCCGGGCAGGTGAACATGAGTCATGCCTGAGTCCGGGCTGGCCACTGCGACCCCACAGTGGGACAGCTCAGCAGGTCACAGGAGTGGTTCCACCCACCTGCCTCCAGTTGTGGCAGGGCAACCATGCGTGCGGTGCAGGGCAATTGGACTTTCTCCTACCCAAACCTCCCAACATATGCCACGCTCACACTATTCTCCCCCTCACACATGGCACACACTGGAGCACCCCACTCTACAGCTCCACCTCTGCCTGTCCCATATACCTACACACACACACAAACCTCCCACACCCCTGCTTCCAACACCACACACCCATACATAGACCCTAACCCCCCAAATGCCCTAGCTCCAACTGTATACGCCTTCTCACCCCAACCTCAGCCCCCACTTACACACCCAATTCTACACACACATCCCACACTCTACCTCCACTCTCATACTAACCTAACTTCTCACACTCTACCGAGGGCTGCTCCCAGGTAAACTGAGGGAGAGTGACAAAAGCACTTTGTGGTGAAGTGCCAGTAGGTGGCCATTGTTATTCTTTTGTTTAAAAAGAAGAAAAGAGAGATTGTTGAGACATACATAAGACTATAAGTTTATTATAAGGCCCAGCAGAATGGGTAGACTAAGAAGAGGAACAGGGTAAATGGCTGACCGCCATGGCCGGTCGCCATAAAGAGACAGAGCGGGGAAACAGAGAGACGGGAGAGCACACAGAGAGAGAGAGAGAGAGAGAGACGGAGAGAGAGACAGACAGAGAGAGCGTAAAGGGGCAGGAGCCTATCTTTTAAAGGGGTCCTCTGCACCTGCGTGCAGACTTCTTTCCCATGGAACCTTGGGCTGACCAGGGTATTGCCTGAGTGGATTCCACCAGGTAACAGGGGCAGGCCAGCATAATGCCTGAACCTTTCAGCCATCACTCCAGGACTGGTCAGGTTGGAATGCCCCCACCAGCTGCTGGGAAGAGGTCTGGCCATGGGAACAGGCCACATGATGTAGCAGTCACGACTCACTATTTTGCCTCCCAGGGTTTCACTTCTGCACCTGGCCAACAGGAGCCTCAGTCTAGAGGACTTTGAAGTCCCCTTCTAACTTGGAGAGAAAAGCAAGCAGGCACATAATCTGAGGATGGAGGAGCAGAACCTGGCACAAGCGTGTGCCTAGACTTGGGTCTGGAGCTGAGCCAAAGACTTAAGCTACACAAACAACAAGGGACACCAATACACAGGGCTTACATCAGGACTCAGAAGCTTCTAGACCCTATCTAGGAGAGAGACTGGAAATAGCAGGAAGAGCCAAGTAGTTATGGTGTCCAATGTGGAGGCTCAAATATCCACATAGGGCCTAACAAAGTGGTCTCTCAGGTAGGCTCTGCCTAAAGAGGCTCAGTCGGCTCTTTTAAGAGACCCTGCTACTGAACACTTACGTGGGGTTTATGAGCAGCAAGCAGCATGCTACTCTGTGGCAGGAGAAGAGGTAAAAACACCTAGTGGAGCTGGGGCAGATAGACCTGCTCCTGCAGCATAAGGCTCTGCTCTCATTGACCCAAAGGGGACGGAGCCAGCCGCAGGCCATGTGCTAGAAGGGGAGGGACTAGCCATTGCATAGCAGTTTAGAGAATACTGCAAGTGAGTGGCTATAGGCACTTAGTGAAGTGGTCCAGACCAAGAAAACCTTTACAGAAATGCAGAAGAAAAACGGATATAGATCTCATCATCATAGTAATTTAAAAATAATGAAGTCTTTAAAAGAGAGTAAAATGCCACATAAGGATGGTAAATATATAATAACACAGGGAATTTGGACCTTATATGATATTTTGTTAACTTTAAAATTTTAAATGCTAATGGGGAGAGAATGGCAGCTGCTGAGAGACACTGGATTGTGGGAAGGACTGCTGAATTAAACCAGCCAGTATATATATAAGGATGTCTTGGCTTCAAATTGTAAATTCAGAATGGGAAATGTGTTGCACTGGGGGAGAGGTTATACCTTTGTTTCCACAGGAAAGAAGTTATGATGGCTCTCTTCACCCAGGAGATCTATTTGCATGGTTGGGCTGTTCCTCTCTGAGACACTGGATTGAACCAAGCATAAAGGAATGGGGATAAGAAGGACTAAAAACAGAGACAGACAGAGGAGATGGACATCAGAAATACAAGGAGGTTGCCTCTAAGCAGAAGGGAAGACAACTGCTGGGGACCAAAGACAAGAAAGCAGAATGGAAGAATCTCAGCAGCCCATCTGTCCCCGCATGCACCGTCCCATTCTCTGTCACTCAGCACCACAGTCCTCCTCAGTGGAGTCCTCCTTACATGGACACACTGTGTGGGATGGGTCTGTATGGAATGCTTCACACAGTGACCCAGGACCCCAGGGGAACAGTGCGGAGATTTAACTGTGAAAAACAGATGCCACCATCACATACATTATCTCCCCAGGGAATGACGGGAGATATTTAGCCTATCCAATCAGGATGAAGCGCTGTAGAGCTATCCCGAGAAAGCCTGGGGATGCTTCACTGCACTGGCTGGATCTGTGAAGATGTGCCAGCCACATGCTGCTTTATTGCTCAAGCAAGAAGAGCTAGGCTGGCATGGAGGCTGAGAGAAAGACAGCAGCTTCTTCCCTCCAGGAGCTTCCAGTCCAACAAATAACAACAGACATTATTTCCCCAAGTCCATGTCAGAAAGAAAAGGAAAGCCCAAGGAAAGGGTGACAACCCTGCTTCACTCACTAATCAGTCACACCTGATTTAGTGACCTTTCATGCAAAGACATACTTTCCCTGTTACAGAAAAATGAAGGCATGGTCTGAAAGCTACCTTACTCCAGCCCTTCTCATGTATGACTTTAATATCCTACCAGACCATGGTGCCCCTAGACAATGGCTCTGGCCAGCCTGCTGATGCTTTCTCAGGTTTACTTCCAAAGTCCCCACAGTAGGGCATCTACAATCAGGAGGGAGACTGAGCTATGGGTAATGATCCTCCTTCCAATGACAATTCAGGGCATCTACAATCAGGAGGGAGACTGAGCTATGGGTAATGATCCTCCTGAGAATGACAATTACCCCTGCCTCTCCACCATGCTATGTGAAAAGTGAGCTAGAGAGAAGTCTGCACAACCTAGGCACCGTTTCCTCAAGTTAACTCCCCCCACACACACACATATGATAGAGAATATGCATCTTGTTTTAGAAAAATACTCATTTTCCCTTCTGTGCAATTACTCAGGTCCCACTTGAGTTGGGCTAAGAGAGCGAACACCCACACTGGTGGGATGGATAATAAGAACTATTTTAAGGTGCCTTCATCTGGGAGTGTGCCATTGTGGAGTGGGAAACATTCACATTTAGTTTCTAGGAAGGGGTTTTATGGCACCTTCGCATCCCTCTTTACATTTCCAGGGTGTGTATGCAGACCTCATGTTGCTGCGAAACAAGACTGAGCAGGAACCTTATGGAAAACCCGATACAGGTCAGTTCGCAGACGTCCACTTACGATCTAATGATCTAATTCCCTGTTTGCATGATCATGGTGTAAACTCTCAATCCCCCTCCCCCGCTCCCCTCCACACACATACACACACAATCAACAGGCACAGGAGACCTTTCCTTTGTGTCTATCTATTCACCTGCTCCCTGGTCCGACATGCCCAGGCCCCAGGATCCTATGGGAGCACACTGCAAAGGGGGAAAAGAAGCAAGCCAGGTGAGCACCCCTCCCTTTTCTTCCCACCTGCCATGCTATCCCTGCCATGACAGACGGAACCTCCTGAAACCATGAGCCAAAAGGGATCTTTCCTCTCTCAAGTTGTCCGTATCTGACAAGTTGGCAATTGTCGAGGTGGTCTACTTGTTTGTGGGCTCTTTCGGGCTCTCTGAGGACTGGAACAGTATCTCCATTTGTCATTCTATGAGCTCATTGTTGTTACTCGAGTTCTAATTGGTCTTAATAATAATAAAAACCCAGAGTCAGATATACGGGGAAAATGCTGAGAGATTGGAGAGAAGGAGAAGCAAGCCAAAGCCACCTTTAGCTCAGTAGCTTCCCAGCAGAAAAGAAAGCAAGTTCCTGTTTCCTCCTTCCCATATTCCTTTCTCCTCCCAGCCATCTCACTTCCTGTCTGTCTGTACAGACCTCCAGACCTCTATGGTTAGCTAGTAGCAAGCTCCACCCTCTGATCTTCAGACACTCTTTATTTGTACAAACAAGATATCACCCACCACACACTGTAAGGCAGAGTCAATCAGAAAAAGAGACTGCCATTACCTATCAGTTTTATGTTTTCACTCTTAGCTGGCACTTGGACTCAGATATGGTCCCCAGCACCAGACCAGATAACTTACAATCTCCTTACAACTCCAGCTCCAGGAAAGCTCCAGGGCGACCCCTTCTGGCCTCCGGGGGCAATGCACCGACATGGCAGATATTTCCTTAACTAAAAACTAAATCATTAAAAGTGACTAAACTCAGTAGGAAGTGGACACTATAGAAGCCTAATGATCCCTTACATGGTTCATTCTGTGTCACTAAGAAAACCATCTCTCTATTCCAGCCCCCAGCCCTTTCTTATCTCTGAAGACACTACCTTAACCCACATCCTCGATGTTGGTGAATACTGGAACCCAGTAACTCTAATGAAAGTCATACAAAGTAAGTGACGTCTCGTGTCATTAAGGGTGAAAGGTCACACTGAGAATCATTAGGTATTTACTCAAATGCTAATATTTTGTTATAGAATAAGAAAACTCTAGGGGCTGGAGAGATGACTCGGAGGTTAAGAGCACTGGCTGCTATTCCAGAGGTCTTGAGTTCAATTCCCAGCAACCACATGGTGGCTCACAACC